GGAGGAAGAGTTCATCACGAAGTTGAAGTTCTTTTTATCCTGTAGTCGCAAGAATCCGATTGGTTGTCGTGGTTAACTATTCAACAAGTAGTGCAATTAGGCATCGTCAGTGCACGCGAGAAGGGTAATCGCTCCCCGATTACCCATTACTTAGCGGGGGAAACTTATGTGTTTATTTATTTATGCACCTGAAAAGAGCTCAGTAAATAAACACAAACAGAAGGGGTAAACAACACAAGGCTCTAACTATAGATGAAAATAAATTTATCTAACTACTTCAGAGACTTAGGGGTGTCGGCACCTCAGGTTCCCCTGCTGACGGTCTACTTACACCCCTAGCAATCTTAAGGAACGTAGCGACACTAAGAATTAAAAAAAGAATCGTATCATTGAGATCTCCACCCTCGAACAGAATAGCAGAGGAAAGCTAACCAAAATACTGGGAAATTTTGAGGTCCGCTGTTGGAGGGAGGTTTTCCGCTCTGAGCTACTCCTTCCGCAGTGTCGCATGAAGTTGATTTTGAAGAATAACCTATCGTTCAGTGAAGGGATAATTAGGTCTCCAAGTGTTAATCAAACCCTTTGTGGGAAGCAACCTTACATTCTACTTCTATCCATCTGGTCAGATTTGTAGTGACATTCTGAAGCGTATGGCGACAATGGCTTTCGGTGGGCAGTCAAAGTACAAATTAGTGGTTTTATCCTTCCAGTCGAGTAGAATACCATCTCATCAAATTCGGTAGAATGGTAGGTTTGGTTGGCTCGGGCGGGTATTAATCTGCAATGCGATCCAGATACATACTATGAAGATGCTCCTTTTCACCTTTCACCACCTCGACCCAAGTCCTTGGAGTGAGTCGACGATGGCCGAAATTCCAAAAAAGGAGGATTTATTCAAGATTGCACGTACTGTCAGGTATCGCAAGGAGGTGTTGCGTCTCATGGAGAAATCAAATTTACCGAGATTCCAACTCCTACCGTAATGTGTCCCCGTAGTGTGTAGACATCTTGGGCAAGAGTTTTGTGTAAATTGAGTGTTTGATTTGAGGTGAAATGCGAATAATATAATAATATTCACGAGCGCAAGCTTCGTACTAGTGTGCGAGTTCAGTTACCCTAGAGAATTGCACCTCTCATCAAACTAGGGATGCAATGTTGAGCCATTCCTCTAAGCTCCTAGTGATTGCTGTGATTTCAGGGTCACTCGCCTACTGGTGGCTCTCGTATGGGTGTTTTCTGGGCTGTTGGCTTTATGTCTGTTTGTATTGGAGACGTTGGCTAACACAGAGAAGCAGGAATGCACTCCAATGAAGCTACCCAGCCTCTACATAATCTTCTCAGCTTCAGCTTCATTCATCGTTCCAGCTGCTATCATGGTTAGTTAACTTTTGATGGCTGACAAGAGTTCTGTCCGCCAGGAGCTATTTATAAGCCTTGGAAATTTCCTCAAATCTCTGATAGCCAAAATATCTGAGACATTAGATTATTTCCCCCGTCTGAGTGATTGATAGGGCTTACCAATGACTTCAAACCAGTGGGCCAACGTACACACCCAAAAGTTGCCGGCCCCGTTGAGGCCTCCGAAGAGTAGTGATTGATGCCGTGAACTGACAAAGAGATGCTCCTGCTCGGTGACCCCCGACAACTGGCCCTCTTCTGGCTGGACTGTTGACTCGAGCCTTCACCTACACCTTCTCATGCTACCCTGTCGACAGCTCAGCTGTTGATCCATGAACATTACGCCCGTCCCTTAAACATAGGTTTCCAAGCAAGGAATTGGGCTCTACCACTCTTCAATATCAGATCAGTCATGGATGCTGTTTTCAGGTCGCACTGAATGTTTCCATCTTCTTCACTGTGCTCACGACGACTAGGATGAAATGTGTTTCAGTCGAGAGTGGAGAGTCAATGCGAATTCATCGAGGGAAACGGAAGTCCATCGCTGAAAAGGTGAGCACACTGAGAACCTGCTGTGTTTGTAATCTCAGGGTTCCATTGTCATCATAGTCGTTGGTGAACGCTTTAGTTACTGGAACCCACTCATTTGAACAGTCAGTTACTGGTTGCAAAACTTTTCAATGTTTTTTTTGAATAACCGTCAGTAATTACTAGCGATGGCATTGGTATAGATAGAGGGAAAGTGCATCTAAAATTGTCTTCTCCGCAGGGGTAATTTTAAGCATGTGTTTGCTAGGGATAGTAAATAGACTTATGAGCCAATAGTTTCTAAGAAGTCATAAGAGGTTCATCCTGCTGACTCGGAAAGAAAAAAAAACAGTCCTCTCGCAAAGAATAGACCTTTCGCTTGGGCGAAGAAGAGAGAATAATTTCCAAAGATGGTCAGTCAGAGAAGCTCATGAAAAAACAGAAGAGGAAGGGGAAAATATTGGAAACATTAGATAGGTGCTACCAGACTCATTTCGGAGGATAAAAGCACTGACTTGTACATCGGCTGGCCGCCACAAGTCATCGTATAGGTCATGTACGCATTCGTAGTCCACCACGATTCTTAGTGGAAGTCGAATGCGAGGCCCATTCTAAGAACGGAAATGGTTGACGCCAGAAACTTATTATTTTACTATCAAGAAGGCGAATTTCGGTCACGACAACATCAATGACTTATTTTTAAGTCTTTTAATTGTAATATTTTTCATGACAAGTATTATTT